ATAAAATATAATTATAAAAACAAAAAACAACTCCACTGAACGGTGACCTCGGAGTTGGTTTGACATGGCAGTAATGACTTTAACTTTGAAATATTTTCACATTCGTTTTCATCCCTTTTGTTTTGTTTTCCTGCCATTAACAAAATATAAAAACCAAGCTTTAAATGTTGATACAGAACTTGTCGAAGGCTATCCAAACCAGAGTTAATGTAACGTGGAGCCATGCACGCCTGAACACTGATTAACCGCAATAATGCTCCCCATTAAAATTAAAACTAGGTGTAAGATTATCAGCAAAAATGGATTTGGTCCAAATTTTTTGTCATACAAAATGAAAGTGAAAATAAAAAAAGTAAAAGAAATAAATTAATAAAATTATGTTTAATTTTTTATTTTGTATGTATTGGAAGCCTGTAATGTGTACAAAGAGTAACCTGAAAGATTTTAGGTCATAAGGGAGAACATGGGCACAGGAAAGCAGCCAACTCTGTAAGGGAAATAGGCAGAGAGAGTAATTTTAAAACTGGTTAAGTGCTCAAAAATAAAGCTCCATGGCTATACAATTTAAAAAGCACACTGATTAAGTTTTTCATGAGCACTAGCAAGTGTTCTGGGATTCCTTTTCTTAATGTTACCCATAATTTATTATGTTCCACAAATTGACATCTTTCTGGTATTCTCTATTATCAGCCACGATCCAGGTGACATCAGCAATAATATCCCTGATTCCGTGGTCTCTTCTGAATTAAGCTTTAATTTTCAAAATTTTTTCCCCCAAAGTTCTTGGCTCAGTGTACTGTTACAGCTAATTTTTAATAATCAGCAAGATTTCACTGTGTCATAGTAATGATATTGCTTAATAATTTCCACATTCTGTTGGATTTTTGGAAAGTAATAGATGTGGGTCTCTCTCAGTCACTCGGCCAGGGAGGTGTCTTCCAAATTTCTTGGCAGATTCTAGTGAGCACATCCAAGGTTGTTGCATTTGTTCGCTGTTAACAGCTCAATGGTATTCCTTCAATTCCTGGGGCCTTGTTTCTTTGCCAATGCCTTCAGTGCATCCTCAATTTCTTCCTTCAGTACTTAGCAATAGGGTTTGTTGTTTTTTGTTTTTTTTTTTAAATTATTTTGTGTGTACTGTCAAATTAGATCTGATTGGTACAGGAGGATATTGTCCCTCCTTTCCAGCAGAGCAACTGGTGGATTAGTGCAGCTTCTTGGCACTAGGTCACCAGAACTCGCCAGTACTTTTTAAACATTTCTGACAATGATCCACAGTAAGAAGCAAGTTTCACATAATTCATATAATGCACATTGTTGTTGCAGGCTGTGGAGTCCGTTCTAATTCCTAAGGATCCTCCAGGATAGTGGAGAACCCCTCAGGGTCTCCTAGGCTAAATATTTATGAAACCACATCATCAGGGCTTTTGTCTTAGGCAGCTCCTGCCTTTTAGGTTAGCAGCTAAAGGCTTTACCACTATACCACCAGGGTTCCTTTATGTGTACAATCCCTAGTAATTGTAGTCTTGACTTTTTTATATGTCACTGAAAACTCATAAGAAAAAGTATTCTATAGAATTCTTCAAAATTTAGTTTATAAATACACATACATGTTGAGGCTTTTCCATGTTGTATAGACTGCACGAAGATAAATAAGCTAAGGTGTAAAATGTAGTCATTTCTTTATAGAGTAGTAAACAGACGGGGAGCAGACTGGTTTACATTTTCACTTACCTGAGCTGCCTTGGCTTGCATACGTTTCCTTTCCTCCTCTTCTTCATGGAGCTTTGCTTCTAACTCTTCCATTTTTTTCTAGTGATAAGAATATTAAAACTTATTATAACGGGAAAAAATCCAATGCCATTTGTACAAATTTAACACAGAAACAGTAAAAAGTGAGTTAACTTCAGCAGTGATTCTAGGCTTGCTAACATTCATGACAGTCTGCTTTATGGACAATTATTAGTCATTTTGTGAGGTAGCTGGAGAATTATAGGCAGTATCTACAACCAGAGAACAGAACTATGTATGAAAGTAAACTATATTATATGTAGAAAATAGATATGGAATTTCAGTCACAGTACTATTACATACCTTTCAAGTGAATCAGTTAAAGCTAAATTAGTTCAGAAAATAGCTTAAACCAAATGCTGAAGCTAGAGACACTAGAAACATCTGTTCTTTTAATGTTTTCTTTCATACTTAGCAAGATTAAGTGTTCTCTCTTTAAACTATTTCTTTGCAAAAAGATCTTTGCCCCCTATATTCAGTAGTACAGCCACTTAATGTACAACAAAGAAAGAAAATCTAACTTCTGTAAACTTTTGTTAAAATGACAATTAAAATATCGTATTGAAAAAGCCCACACTGTGCATGCATGAAATGCAATAAAAATATGTAATTGCAGAGAGAAAAAAAGACTAAATGTTAATGATTGAAAACACATTTACTGACTTCTGCAATGGCTTGCATTGTGGTAAGTTTATTATACTCCTGTTCCAGAAGATCCAATTTTTCAAGTTTGGTTTGAACATGCGTTTGATCCTGCTGTCGTTCTCTTTCTAAGGAAACCTAGAAAACAGCATTAAATACAGTAAGAATATCTGACAAAAACAAATACACAAAAACTACTACTGAGTGTTCATTAGACTATAATGTGGGCTATTGGTTTTGCCTTCTATAGAACTACTGAATGTACCATAGAATTCTAGAAAAACTGTATTTAGAGGAAACCACTGGATAGTAAAGAAAAACAAGTGGCGTTCTGTTTTAATTATATAATGGCATTTAGTTTGATATAGTAAGATTATACTTATGTCCTGGTATAGCAGAAATTTACCCCCCCCCCCACACTTTCAATTAGTCTGATCCTCTTAAGTAGTTAAATCTCTTAAGGCAATCATTATGGTTTTCACATCATTTACATTACTTCTGATTTCTATGTAAAAACATCCTAAAGTTTTAAAGTCAAGAAAATGAAAAGACTGCCTCCTATAGGTATTTCAGGATTGATAGTAACAGCATAAACCATTAAGGATAAAAGGTAGCAATATGCTAAACGAGGTTTAATGTTGTCATGTGTCACTGAGCTGGAACTGACTCATAGCTGATCCTCAGGCAGGCTTTTTCAAAGGTTGTAAGTTATATGGAAGGAGATTATCCATCTTTCTATCTAGGAGCAGCTGGTGGATTTGAACTGCTTGCCTCTGGGCTTGGCTGTGCAATTCCTTACCAATTAGGTCACCAGAGCTCCCTAAATGAGGTTTAGTGATATAAAAGAAATTTTAAGTACTTGGGTACCTTTTTAAATTAAAACCTATAGCAATTAAGTAACAAATTTGGAAATGACAAAGCAATAAAATAATTTTATCATGTCACAACTTTTAATACATTACAACTAGCACAGTGTTTTATTCCCAATATTGGAGCTGCTCTTTTTTTTTTTTTTAAATTTAGGTTGTTTATTTTTCATTTCAATGAACATCTACAGAGATTTTGGGATTACATTCATTGTTGCACCCTTCTCCCCGCACAAACCCCTCCCCCGCTCTTTATAATACTACTATCCTTAATAAAATTGCTATGTCAAAGTCACTGAAACAGATATCTATTCTGTTTAACAGGTGACTCTATTCAAGACAATTTATACATCCCCCCAATGAAGAAAATGATATTATTTGCAATATGGCAGATGGATATGATCATCACTCCATCCATCATACAGAAATGGTGATAAAACATAGTAATAATAATAAATTACATAGCTAATTTTAAAAGCAAAAAAGTTAACCTCAAGAAGCTCCCCCCCCCCCCAAAAAGGACTTCATGTAAGTGGAGCCTCTGCATACATGTGCAGTGACACAATAGAAAATTTCAGGCACTGTATAAACTGTATTGTGCCAAGACTCCAATTTACGTACATCTGTACAAGAACCAATGAATCATGAAACTCTTTCTCAAAGCATTACACTAGTAGTTTTTCCAAAATGAACTTAATGGCACTCTCAATGGTTTCTTTAGTTTACTTAAAAACAAATTAGTCACTGAGGAAGATATGTGTATTTAATTTTCCCCATAACTGTTAGTGAGTATGAGTCTGGGATGCCATACCTGCTTCTCTAAGACAGATGTCCTCTCCATTTCTGCATGCTTTATCATATTTCTCATGTACTCCAACTGCTTCTCTAAAAGATTACATTTGTTTTCTGCAGCTAACAACTGCGATGTCAGTTCTAAAAATACATTAACAGAAGAAATTAGATGACTCATAGAACAGTTTTAACAAGCTGTTTCAACAGAAATGAAATCTTCTGTATATGAAATAAACAATTCCCAATAGCTCTAGCCATCTTTTCAGATTAAACATTCTTTCTACACTAGTTACAAAGACCTTGTTCAGTATATTGCAAGCCATGAGCACCTACTCCTAGAAATGCACCTGAGTATATATATATAAAAAAAAAGTATTTTCTATTGTCCAAGGTTACTGATGACTAGAAAACAATGTAAAATTCTGTAAGAATAATTTTACAATACCCATTTTAATACACACTTTCCATTTCCTTCATAATGAAACAAACCTTGATTGTGTTTCGATTCCTCATTCTTTGAATTTTCCCTTTCCTGTATCTGTTCATCCAGTACTTTTTTATATTCATTTGTTTCTCTAGACAGGGTTCTCACACTTTCTTCTGCCTGAATCCTTTCAAGTTCCAAACGTCTAATCTTCTCTTGAAGATTCTTCAGAGCAGAAAATATGGCTGAGCAAAAAAAATACCGATATAAGATAATCACTGTATGTTCAAAAGTTCACTCAAAAAGCAAGTCTCTTAATGAAATAAAATGGAGAACCACTTATAAAAGCAATAGAATCTTCATTTCAGGGAGCTCTGGTGGCCTAGTGGCAAGAAGCTGTACTACAATCCCAGAGGTATACGGTTCGAATCCACCAGATATTCTGCTGGAGAAGGAGCGGCAATCTCTTCCTGTACCAGTCAGATTTGATGTGATGGTACACGCGCGCGCACACACACACACACACGCACACACACACACATAATTTAAAAAAAAAAAAAAGTTCATCTCAAAAGAACTTCAAATATCTATTAATGTATAGATCTTGGTCCACACACAGATTTTCATTAACTGCAGAATCTCTGCAATTCTGATGAGCAAAACATGTTTCCTCACGTTACTTGATTTTGTATTTCTAGTAAAAGTTTAAATACTTTTACATACATTATGGGCTGGATTTCCTTTTTACATTTTTCTGTAAGAAAATTTATTCCTCCCATTTTTTTTATCTGTCTAATTAATTTTAGATAGCTCACATGGCCTAATGGGTATGGAGTTTTCCTTCCAACCCAAAGGCACTTGGTTCAAACCCACTAGCTGCTTTTAGGAAATATATGGGCACTCTCCTCCTATGTGATTTATAGCCTCTGACAAGTTGCCAGAGGGTCAGTTTTGAGTCACTTCCAACTTGACAGTGCCTACCCATATAACTAGTTTTTGGTGTTAACTTTTATTTTTTTGCATGTTAACTTTTAATACACAGATTTTATTTCTTGTATTTATTGTTGCTATAGTGTGCCAGCTAGTCAGAACTGACTCACAGCTGACCTCTGGAGAGGTTGTAAATTGTACGAGAAGAAATTGTTCATCTTTCTCTTGCAGAGCAAGTGGTAGATCTGAACCATGTGCATTTGGGTTGGCAATACAACCCAAACACTAGTTATATCAAACAAACGTTCCCATCAAGTTTGTTTTTGTTTAAAAATGAATAAAAAAAAATACAGGAAGTTATTCCAACTCCTCATGTTCAAAGAAATACCAAGTAAAAAGCAATTTTATATTCAAGAATAGAGTTTAATTTTAAATACCCAATAGGTCACACATAAACTTATAGAGAATTACTAATTACACATAAACACTCAAGATTGTTTATTTGGATTCTACTAATTATGCCAATATAGAAATTGAAACTTTATAAAAACCATTAATACCAGTCTTCTACATTTTACTTTAAAAACATTTCAAAATCATTCTTAATCCTATATTCACAATCATTGTGCTAAATCATTTAAGAGAAATGTTCTTTACAAGGAAAGAAGTGTTCTTAAAAGAAATGTCATCCTTTCTTTTCTTTAGTATGTGACACATACTTCTGACAAGTGGACTAGGCAGACAGCAGCATCTAGATGCTCTAAACCAAGACACCAAAAAGCAAAGATACACATGATAATCTGTGAGCCTTCAGTTCCAAAAGAATAAAGAAACAGTTCAAACGCGAAATGAAAGCAAAAATTGAATGAAAACATCAAAATAGTAGATGGACTGGTGAATTGTAAACAGACTGGAAACAGCACTGTCATTTTGAATGTGCAAGCAGAACTGATAGGAGTAGTAACCAACGACTGTAAAGGTGTCCTTATCAGTGGCTGGCTGTTGACAAGGTGTGATTTCTCCCTATGTCCCAGGGGATCAGAGGGGTATCTTTCCCCAAGACTACCCATCAAGTGGCCAGCAGAGTTCTCCCAGCTGTACCCGAGGCCAGGATGCACCATTCTGTACCTGTAACTGTAGCATGTGCTCAGTTCCATGTTTTCTATCTCTGCGAATCTGCCAGCCAAATGCTTACTCCTTCTCTTTCCCTTTGTCACACAGGACAATAAACAGGAGAGTATCCAACTAGATATGTACCTTTTACAGCTTCAGCCATCAAGCAAGAACAAAGACCGGTGGTACTCCACCTGACACACAAGACTGGAGTCAACACAAGTCCAGTCTGCTCTCACATACACACAACTCTATCATACTCACCAGAACAGAGTAGGGAAAACTACTAAAGAATCACCAAACTATCAAGTATCAAGCAACAGCACACATTCATACACCGTCAATAAGATGGACTGACACAATAACTGTAACAATGGGCTTTTGAAATCATCACAATAGGGCAGGAGAGGGTCACTACATAGCTCAAGGTGTAGTCAATAACAATCTCATTTTATGTCCTACTTATAACAAATTATGGCTAAAGGTGAGAAGAATGGCAATCCCAGAACACTTAATCATGCTCTTGTAAAACCTGTACCTAAACCAAAAGGAGGCTGTATGAACAAAGCAAGAAAAACTACGTGGTTAAAAAGAAAAGTGTGTATCCATCTTCTATACCTATTCAATCCGTAAGCTGAGCAATTTGAGAAGCTAGGCTTTATGAAGAGGAATGTGGAATCAGGGATGGAGGAAAACTCATCAACAACCTGCATTATCAACATGACACAACCCTGCTTGCAGAAACTGAGGAGGGCTTGAAACACTTGCTGTAGAACAACCACTTCAGTCTTCAATATGGATTGTATTCCAAAATAAAAAAGACAAAAATCCTCACCACTGGACCAATAAGCAACTTTGTGATGTTATTTGGAGAGAAGACTGACAATGATTTCATCTTACTTGGATCTACAATCAACCCCTTCGGACCAACAGACAGGAGATACATTGCACTGGGCAGGTCTGCTGACAGGGACTCTCCAAATAACTGGGGAGCAATGAGGTCAATATGAAGACTAAGGTGCATCTAATTCCGGCCATGGTGTTTTCAATCGCTTCCTATGCATAAAGATGGCAGAAGAATTGATGCCTTTGAGTTGTGATGTTGGGAGAACAGTAATAATTATTCCAGACTGCCAAAAGAATAGGTATGTCTTGAAAAAGGTGCAGCCAGAGATGAAGCAAAGATGGTGAAAGTTCATCTCTCATACTTTGGGCATGTTGCTAGGCCAGGTTATTCCTTGGATAGGAACAACATGGTTAGAAAGATGGAGGGTAAGTTAAAGACTTCCCTCAACAGAGCTTAACAACAACTGCTCCAGTGTATATTTCCATATGAATAGATATACAACCAGAATGCCATCTGTATATTGCTTATTAATAATACACTCGACTGTTTCTGTTCCAATAATATGTAGCTCTATGCCAGTTTCCCACTTAAAACTTTAGAAGTCTTAGTCTCAGTTCTCATTGCTGTTGAGTGGAAACTGACTCATACATAACTCTCTGGAGCTTCTGAGATTATAAATCGTACAGGTGGATACTGCCTATCCTTTTCTCATGGAATGCAGGTTTATTCAAACAGCCATGGGAGAGTGGCCTTTGGGTTACCAGTGCAGCTCTGTATGCCAGAGATTTTGAAGGTCTACTTGCTAACTATTATTAGGCAAACAACAAAGACCTATCTTATAATCCTCTTTAAATAAAACAACAAAAACAAAATAACAAACAAAAACTCCAACAGGTTCTCACACATTATTTCAGATAAAGGAGAAGACAACCCTCAGCCAGGTGGACTGACTTGGTGACTCGAGCAATGGGCTCAAGTGTGTCAGAGATTGTGAGGATGGCACAGAACAGGGTTCAGAATGTTGTTCATACAGTTGCTATGAGTAGTACTTGACTCAAGGCCACCTAACAACAGGAACAACAATAACTGACTTATCCTGTGTATGTCTCTTTTTAAACCAGGTGGTCTCAAGCCATAAAAAAAAAGTTGTTTTTTTTTTTTTTAAAATATCTGAGTAGTCTCTTCACCACATGCAGCTTTCCAAAGGAGACATCATTTCAGACTAGAGTTCTTCAAACTTAGCCTAAATTTAAAATCCCAAACTTCCTTCTCTACCTATTGCAATATCTAGACTTCCAATACCAAGACTCCTACCCTAAACACTATCCCTTAGGTATCCAGAGCTTTGATTTTGGTGGTGTTTTTTTGGTAACTGAGCTGATTGCAACAGAGAATAAAACTAGCCTGTAAGATTTCTGCAATTTTATGAAACAAATCACCAAGTCTTTTCTCTTTGGGTGAGTTCAAACCGCTGATTTTTCAGATAGCTGTCAAGTGTGTAACCACTGCACACCTGGGCTCCTTCTCTTCAGATTAAACAAAAAAAGCAAACAAAAAACAAGATGTCACATTCACTGATCTAACTGAAGATGACATGCTAACTAACTACTAAGGGAGCATTACTCTACAGTCTTGCTAAGATATTTTCATGTTAACCCCAACAAAACCTAATGTCATTCAGTCAATTCCAACTCACAGGAACTTTATTGGATAGAATGGAACTGTTCCCAGAGTTCCTGAATTTGTAAATCTTTACAAAAGTCAACAGCTAGATCTTTCTTTGAACCACTGACCTTCCAGTTAGCAGACAAGCACTTTAAAACAAAGCACTACCTTCACATTGTGTTTCAGAAGTTAATCACCATTAGACTTTACCCATCATTACCCTGTCTTTCCTCCCAGATCTTTCCCATTCGCTTCCCCCCACCACCACCAAACTGCAGCTCTGTGGTTTCACCCCTACCTCATGACCCCCCAACCTCTCGAGTTCCTATACGTCATGTTTTGTTATCCTTCAATTTTACAATAATGGTCTTATGCAGTATTTGTCCTTAAGAGACTATGAGTTCACTCAGCATAATGTTCTCCAGTCTCTCCCATGTTACACAGTATTTTTCAAAATCATTGCTCCTGAGTGCTGCACAGTATTCCACTGTGTGATTGTACCACAATTTCTCAATTCATTCAACTGTGGTTGGATATCTGGGCTATTTCATGTTCTTGCAATGGTAAATAATGCTCCTGTGAACATTGGTGGACAAATCTCTGTTTTTGCTTCAGTCAAATGTCCTTGGGGTATATTCCTAGTAGTGGAAAACTTGGTTATATGGAGTTTCTACATTCAACTTTTTGAGCAAATGCCCAACTGTCTTCAGAGTGGTTGTACCATTTTAATCCCATCAACAATGTACTAGAGTTCCCACCTTTCCACATCCTCCAATATTTATAAAGAATAGTGTGAAACACAATGTATATAAACTTTGTAAGCAAACCAATTAAAAAAACCCAGAATGTATATGAATGATTGTATGAAATACAATGTCAATGAAAGACTATATAAAACATAATGTATATGAATGCAACATAATGTAGGAATTATGACAGAAACCCAGTAAAAATATTTAAAAAACAAAACAAAACAAACCCAACAAATCAGCACCAACATTCAAAGTTCTGACAAGCCAGATTCAAATTTAGGGTATTAGCTCTAGTTGCTTGAGTATTAGACCCAAGATTGGGACATCACAACTACCCACAGTGGGTGATTCACTAGAACAGCAGTTATTTATTATGGTTTATACAAAGCATTATCAACAAGGGCAAGCAGCCAGGAGAGACCTGTCCTTGGAGAAGGACATCATGCTCAGAAGGGTGGTAGGACAGCAAAGGAGAGGAAGATCCCAGGTAAGATGGATTGATACTTACTGGGGCAATGGGGGTAGGTGTGTCAGAATCAGTGAGGCTGGCTCAGAATAGTACAGGGTTCAGAGCTGCTGTACATAGCGTCGCAATGTGTCGCAGGTAACTTGAGAGCACAGAACAACATCAACAAGGGACAATGATTCGCCATGTGTAATATCAAGGAATCCAGGCACAACGTTCTAGAAAGGCTCAAAAAATGTTTCCTCCCCATAGAAGTGACATAAAAAATTTAGCTCTTTGTCCAGTAACAATCTACAGCAACATGCACTAAGTGCTTCACACTTCCACAGCCAAGAGATGGAATCACCTTTCCAGAACCCAGTCAGTTTTCTAGCTCTGTGGGTCAGCAAGAATAGCTCCACCAAAGGTGTACTATCAGCAAGTCGGCCTCAAGGTGCTCTGTTCTCTCATTCCATCGGCTGGCAAAGCCTAGCTCTGTCACACATTCTGCCACCAACTCTCTTGCCCAAAGGCATTCAGCTTTCTTGTGCTGCTGACTGGGAAGCCCACCTCACCAACTCCTGATTCTGTTGTCACCACTTTCCTGCCTCCAATTCTGCTGTTACAACCCTCTCTGGGGTACAAGCAATTCTCAGGGCGTAGACCCCCAGTGTAAACGACGTACTTCATCCTCATTTTCTTGGCAGTAGTGAGCTTTTCCTCCCCTTTTCCAACATGAGAACAATTAAATTTAAGCTTGGCTTGGCATACAGATTCAATCTCTTTGCTAGGTGTTCCATATACCTTAATTGCAGATTTGCACAATCACTGGAGGGAATTACAAAATCATGGCAAGAAAACCAGTATGAAAGGGATCCATACCACTCACCACAGCAAAAATTATCTAGGTAAAAGATGATGAGAGCCCCAACCAAAACAATGAAAAGAAACATAGCCAATAGGTTTTGAAATATTTCAGATGCAGTAATTCAAGTATTAGTTTCTAACTTGTACCAAAGATGGCAGATTAAGCACAGATGAATCAAAGGAATTTAGCTTTGATATCAACCAGCAAGAAACGGAACATAAAAAAAAGCTTTTCCTTTCTAACCTGAAAATAAAGAGTGGACATAATTATGAAATTTTAAGCAATGACTAAACAAAACAGCACCTTTTTTGTAAACAGCATCTTTTTTGTAAACCTCTATTACCTCTGCTGTTGCTTTCTGGATAGGCAAAAGTAGGCTTATTTGGTGAACGTCGCATATCACTATTAAGGAAAGGCTTATCAGGTGGATAGACTACATATGGAGACGAAGAATGATGAACCATATTTCCATTTGGTCTTGATGGTTCAGATGAGATGTTCTGGAAAAAAAAGCAACAAAAACAAAAACAAAGAAATGACTTTTAAAAATCTTAAAACCACAAACCGAATGCGCATACATTTTATTCATGACCAAGAACTGGATAGTTCATCTATTACACTGAGATGGGAGCCTAAAAAAATACTTACTAATATACAGAAGGGAGTTCTGGTGACCAAGGAGTAAGCCACTGCCAATCCAAAGGCATGTGGTTCCAATCCACCAGCTGCTCAGGAGGGAAAATGGGCAATCTCCTCCCATGAAACTGACAGCCTCTCATAATTTGGGGGTTCAGCTTCAAGTAGGTTCAGATTCCACAGCACAACAACATATGACTGTAACTTTGTTGTTTTAAAACAAACTTTAAGAAGATTCATAAATGTAGCCAAAGATTGTAAAAGCAAATGCTCTCAGAACTTGAATATAAATGCTCTACAAAAATACTCAAACATGGTACGCATAATACTGTATTTTTAAACTATGCATGATGAAACATAATACACTATTTTTAAATTATGCATGGTGAAACATACATTCAGAAAAATAATATAATATTTGTCTTTTTTACAGTATCAGAAATTGCTATAAGTGACTGAATTAATCTATCACAAATTAACAGCTTCTGAATATTTATAAAATATTTGACACTGTGGAATACAGACAGAATACATGGTTCTTACCTCAAATAACTGACATCTCATTATAAAGCAATATAGGAAACAATTAGAAAACATCGAGACTTATCAACACTCACATATAAAACTTTCTCACATATATTATGATTTCATGAATAAAATTTTGCCTACTTTGGGATTATTGCCATAAAATTTTTAACTCAAGAGCACTAACTGGACTTCTGTTTATTGTACCTGACTTCCTGTTAGGACATAATCCTCCAGTTGGAGATAAACTACTTACATCCATTCTCCCCCCGCCCCCAGAAAACTGGGTTTTCATCTCTTACTTTTAGAGAATAATGACTATGTATAAAACACTGGAATAATCTGTGTCCAAAGTACAAAGGAACAATAAAGTTTTAAAATAACCAATAGACAATTTACTGGATAAGTGATCAATATTCCTATATGAAAAACTGAAGATTGTATTTCAGTATTAAAAACCCATTCAATTTGCTACTTCATTCTAGAAGGCAAATACAGTTTACCTTCAGTAATCATAGGTTCTACTTCAACCTCAGAAAAAATATTGAGGGTAGAGAGAGAGAAGCTCAATTAAGTGGTTAAAGCAACCTGTTAAAGGCAAAAGAGCTTACATGGTATTATTATTTTTGAAACCTCAATCTTATCTATACAACCTGTACAATGCCACAAATAATGTGACCAGGGTACTTCTTGGAGGCAAGTATGGTGAAATTTCACCACGTATTTGGGAATGTTTTTAGACGGAGTAGGTCCTCAGAGAAAAGACATGCTTGGAAAAGTGGAAAGGTCAGCTTCAGAGAGGAGAGCCTGAATCAATAAGAATGCCATGGTGGTTGTAACAATAGGCTTAAGTATATCAGAGACAGGATGGCACAATATAGGGCAAGGTTCTGATCCACGGTTCATAGGGGTGTTATGAGTACAGAACAATAACACACGTTATAAAGCAAAGACAGAACTCTGAGGACTAAAGTGTACATGACTCAACTGCCTCATATGTAAGGCAAAGTTGGACAACATGTAAGGAATATCAAAGAATTGATGCTTTTGAATTATGAAAGGAACTCTGGTGATTGTTGTTGTTGCTGTTATGTGCCGTTGAGTCGCCTGCGAATCATAGCGACCCTATGTACAACAGCCCTAAACTCTGCTCTGTCCTGTGCCAATCGCACTGTCTCTGACACTCCCATACCAATTACCCCAGTCACTGAATCAATCCACCTCATAGAGGGCCTTCCCCTCCTGCGCTGTCCCTGCACCCTCCCAAGCATGATGTCCTTCTCCAAGGACCGGTCTCTCGTCACAACATGTCCAAAGTATGTTAGGACGGAGCCTCAGAATCCTTGCCTCCAAGGAGCCACCCAGTTTAACCCTTTCCAGGACAAATCTGTTTGTTTTCCTAGCAGTCCAAGGTATTCTCAATACTCTTCTCCAGCACCACAGCTCAAAGGCATCAATTCTTGTTCTATCCTCCTTGGTCACTGTCCAACTTTCTGATGCATAACCACTGACTGCGAAGACCATGGCCTGTATCAGACGCACCTTAGTCTCCAGAGAGACACCATTGCTCTTCAGTACTCTGGAGAGGTCCCTAACAGCAGACTTTCCCATGGCAATGCGCCTTTTAATTTAAGGCAAAGTTGGGCAACATGTAAGGAAGATCAACGAATTGATGCTTTTGAATTATGAAAGGAACTCTGGTGATATATTGTGTAATACATCCAGCTGCTAACTAAAAGGATGGTATTTCAAATCTATCACCTGTTCCATGGAAGAAAAATGGGTAGACTTTTGCTAGAAAGATACACAGCCTCGGAAATCTGATGGAAGGTCACTATGAGTTGGAACTAACTCAATGGGATTGAGTTCTTAAAGTACAGCTGGCAAAAAAAAAAATACTGAATATACCAAGGACTGCCGAAAGAACAAATCTGTCTTAAATATACTACGTGACTTGAGAAAGACTGGAGGGCATTATGCTGAGTGAACTAACTCAGTCTCACAAGGACAAATACTGCATATGACCATTATTATAAAAATAGTGGGAAAACTAGTAAAACAAATATGGGGATCCAAGCGGGGAATGGGTGAAAATGGATAGGAGGGAAATCACAGGGTTGCACATTTTGGTGACTGGAGGGAGGGTGTAAAGGAAATGGGAAAGATCCAGTAGGGACCTGAAAAGACAGGGTAATGATGGGCACAGTCCAATGATGATTAATTTTATAAAACACAATGAGTGGGAATGATTGTATGAAACACAATGTGACTGAAGAATAGTGTGAAACACAATGTATATGAACTCTTTATAGACCAAGAATTAAAAGAAAAAAAAAGTACAATCAGAATAAGTAGGATGATGGGACTTTATCTCAGATCCTTTTGGTAGATCAGTCCCTGGAGGGTATCAGACTTCATCAAGTGGAGGGGCACAAAGCATTTTTTTCTTCCTTACATCATGACTGAGGATGCTCTGGTTGCCTAGTGGGTAAAGAATCGAGCTGTTAACCCAAAGACAGGTGGTTTGAACCCAGCAGATGTTCTGACGAAGAAAGATAGCTAATATCCTACACAATTTACAACCTCTGAAAAATCCACTGAGGGGTCAACTAGGTGTCAGTTCCAACTCAATGACAGTGAGTAACAACAACATACCATGATTGAGGAGGAGGAAGAGGTGGCAGTTTTTTGAGAAGAATCTCACTGCTTTCTCTGAGATCTGAAGTAAAGTGTTTTGGGGGAAAAACTCAGCAACATACCATGATTGAGAGAAGTCCAGCCACCTTATTTTGCATGTCAGAATTTAAGCAATGTGTGTTATCACTATGAGTAGTCGGGTTAATGTCCTCAGTTGCTGACAGTAGCCTGATACAAGGAACAGGAAGAATTAAATAAATCAACCAAAAGTTGATCTTAAAAAAAATTATCTATAAAAACTATTTTGAAATTCAATAAAACCAAGAAGCACTAAACGCAATGACAAAAGTACCTATTTAGAATAATAAGAATTATTAACAGTCAGGTCTATTTAATTGAGAAAGTGACCAAAGAAAAGCTCTAAGCATAAAAATAACAGTAATATTTTTAGGAGTTGGGGAAAACCCCACAGAAATCATCTAGCAAATGCGCGCGCGCGCGCGCGCGCGAGAGAGAGAGAGAGAGAGAGAGAGAGAGAGAGAGAGAGAGAGAGAGAGAGAGAGGCTCAAAACTATTTGGTGTATTTTTTTCTTTAAATTGTGATATGAAAAAAAAATTTAAAAAAAATTGTGATATGAGCAAAAGTTTGCAAATTGGTTTCTTACTCAAACATACATACATGTTGCTACATTAACTACAAAATCTGTAATAAATGCACTTTCCCAACTTCATTGCTGTAACTGATTTTCAAAAATGTTTTACCTTGCCCAATCTCACTGAAAAATCTGAAGAGTCAGATTCAACTTTGTGGTTAATAAACCATTAAGAACTTTCCAATTGAGAATTTACCAGCTTTCCTACATCCATAGCCATACACTCTGCCTTTCTCCAGCCAGAAAAAGATGAATGAGCTTTGTATAACGGACTCATCTCTATTTACCTACTCAAAGGCTTGCTCCTTTTCACTCTCGGTGCCATCCACTGCTCCCTTCCCATTAGTTCTTTCATATCTCCCTTGAGAAAAAAAGAAAGACAAAAGCACCTTCTTGGACTTCAACGCTCTCTTGTTTTTATAATATCACTATTCCTTCCTTTTATACATGCCGACACAAATTCATTGCCAGAACGAAGTCAATTGTTGACCTTCCAGCAGGTTTTCAGAGGCTGTAAATCTCAATGGAGGAGACAGTCTATCTCTCTTGTACAAAGAATCTGGTGGATCTGAACCACCAGAGGTGGCCCCTTTAGGTTAGAGGAGTAACTCTCTACAGACTAAACCAGAGTTTCTTATAAATTGAGACACCAAAAAGTTAAGCTCAAGATCACAAAGCTAGCGAGGAGCACAGTGTTTCAACTCCCAGAACTACTTTTCCTGGCAGCTTTAATTGTTAGGGCAAATATCTGACCTAGGAATACTTAAAGAGTTCAAATATTTATTGAACATCTCAGTGTTAATTACAAACATATATATATATATAAAATGGGTCTTTCATAAGAAATGTGCAACATGGCTAGAAGAAATGAGAAACCTAAAAATTTAAACACAACAGAATATGTGGAAACTGCCAAATTTACCTTTCCTATTTCACAGGATTCCTAATTATCAAGAGATTAAACAGAAGTAATTTACTATTTTTGATGATGAGCCAAGCAGTAACAAATATGAGTGAAGAGAGCATAACTTGCCCATGGTTAATCGTGACAGAAGTACACAAGTATAAGGGACATTACTTTGAGCGAATGCAATAATAATTTTGCAAAACCAAAAGCAACAAAAAATATAAGCGGATGCACAGATAGCTATGTATGCAGATAGCTATGTATGCATACACACACACACTGGAAGATAATCTATGTGTCACTACAAGTAAAGATGCATCTGTAGACATACACATTTACATGTTTTTATGTGCTGTTTATACTCATAATTATAATAAAGTCAAACTTGTTGGACCAGTAAGAAACAGGAACCCCTAAGTCCTGCTGGGTATCCTTTAAACCAAGCAACTCTTGGAAAGCATATTTCAGCTAAATAACAGATTGACTCATGAAACAAACACTATCTCATGAATAAAAGGATCCTAAAAAAACCCCCAAAACCAAAAAAACAACAAAACTACAAAAACCCACCACAAAACACCAAACTTTGAAAGACATTTACCCTAAAGTAAAGCCAAGACTGGGGGAAAAGACAGAGATGTCAGATTAGAGGAAAAAGAAAAGGGTAGAAATGAGAATGTTGTGGACGTGATGAGTAAAATGTAACCAGTGCCACTGAACAACTTATAGATAAATTGCTATTTAATGTTCACCATAAAGGCAATTAATTTTAACACCGGCATTATAAAATAAATCTGAAGAAGCACATTATCTATGATATAGCAGTTCCACTTACAAGCATGTTTACTACATTTTAAGGCTTTTCTCCCCCTTTTCATAAATTATATGGGCTATGCCCTTAAATATATTCCAGAATGAACTACTGAGCTATAACCCATCCCCAAACTGTGGTTTTAAGTCACTATTTTAGAGTTGCACTTCTCAAATTTTGTTTCTCAAGACCCTGCTCCCCAAATCCAATGCCACAACACTGATTTCTACTCAGAGTAACTCTGCATGGGGTTTCCCAGCCTGTAAAGCTTCAGGAAAAGGGTTCAAACTGACAATCTTTTAGGTCAGCAGTCTAATATATAATACTTGACAACATGGGAGACCTTTGTATCTTGATATTTGTCATGTGCCATCAAGTCGCCTGCAACTCATAGTGACCCTATGTACAACAGCCCCAAATCCTGCTCTATTCTGTGCCAATCTTACTGTTCCTGACACACCTACCCTCAATACTCCAGTGACTGAATCAATCCATCTCATCGAGGGTCTTCCTCTCCTGCCCTGTCCCTCCACCCTCCCAAGCATGATGGCCCTCTCCAAGAACTGGTCTCTCCTTGCAGCATGTCCAAAGTAAGTCAGATGAACCTTCAGAATCCTTGCCTCCATGGAGCGGTCTGCTTTCACCCTCTCTAAGACAAACCTGTTTGTTCTCTTAGCAGTCCACAGTATTTTTAATACTCTTCTCTAACATGACAGCTCAAAGGCATCAATTCTCCTTCTATCCTCCCTAGTCATTGTCCAGCTCTCTGATATATAACAAGTGATTGCAAAGACCATGGACTGTATCAGGCGCACCTTAGTCTCGAGACTCATATAATTGCTCTTCAGTACTTTGGAGGTCTCGGACAGCAGGCTTTCCCCAATGCAATTCGTCTTTTAATTTCCTGGCTACTGGTGTCAAGAGTGTTGACTGTGGAGGCAAGCAAACTAAAGCTGTTAATAATCTCAATCTCTTCACCATCTATAATGATGCTGCCAATTGGCCCAGTGGTGAAAATCCTTGTTTTCTTCTTATTAGCTTCAGTTCATACTGAAGGTTGCAGTCCTTGACCTTCTGCAGCAAGCAGAGTTGTATCATCTGTAGAATGCAGACTGGAACACCACATCAACAGAAAACTGCCAGGAGTGCAGGCTGGGTTTAGAAGAGGTCATGGTACTAGGGATATTGTAGCTAATGTTAGAGGGATATTAGCTGAAAGCAGGGAGCACCAGAGGAATGTCTGTACTTCATTGACTATGCAAAGGCATTTGGTTGTGTGGACCACAACAAACTGTGGCTAACTCTGAGAAGAATGGGAATCCCAGAACACTTGATCGTGCTTATGTAAAACCTATACTTGGACCTAGAGGCAGTTGTCAGAACAGAGCAAGGAAACACTGCATGTTTCAAAATTGGGAAGGGAAGGGCATGGCCATGGATGTGTCCTATTTGCATACCTTTTCTTGATATTTACGACACTAAAAAAATAAAACAGAAAATTGGTTTAGATATTTAAATATACCAACCAAAATTTAAACAAAGTGGCATGTTTTAAAACTTGCAGATTCTTTAAGATTGGTATAAAAGGTGGCAGCTGGTTTTTCCAATCTGCATCTATATTCATGGTTATTTTCACAATAATCTTTTGATGTTGTTTCTGTGGGAAACAGTACTACGTGATTGCTATGTGGAAATAAAACTTGGTATGCACAGGCAATCTCCTTCCTTTTGATTAACTGACTCTGAAAACCCACCAGAGGGTCATCTATGGGTCAGTTCTGGCAATAGCAACATGCATATGTGTAGATTAAAAAAGATTCTGTGGATCTTCCATGTGAGTCCACTGAATTACAGACTACAGCTTGAAAAACGGCTGGTCTGGAGAAAAAAGTTTGTATATACATCACATTTACATACAAGAATGATCACAACATTATTCGTAATAGCTAACAAATTTAGAGCTCCAAAACTCATCAAGAGATCATCCTACAGAAAACAGAAATGAAGAAATTACATGAAAAATACAAAGCAGTAAGTTATAACAATGAAAAGTCAAGTTAAAGAAAAATGTAAATATAAAAGCAAGAATACACCTAGATATGTGTGTCCTTTTATAACTAATATTAATACATGGAAGGAACTAGAGTTCCAAGGGGAATTGTGTAGCCAAATTGCCTGGTTTCAAAGCAAAGCTCGGCTGTTTATATGGTATGTAAACTTAATCATTCTGTGCCTTGTTCTAATCACCCAAAAAACAAACATACTAATGCCAACCTTAAATGTGTGGCATTTCCCTTACTTTTCTAAACATTTGCCCAAGATTTATAGGTTGTTCAGGTGGCTTAGCAAGAAACTGCAATGACAACTCTTAAAGCATGTACTCTGAAACCACACTATCTACTGCAGCTGGTGTCTGGCAGCATTTTCTTACCACTAAGCCACCAGAGCTCACGTCTTGACAATTAGAACCCACTTAAAGCTGAGTTGAGCACAATAAAACATAAAGGGTTTTTTTAACACTCTTTGAGTACTCAGCAAAGTTACACAAAGCCCTTGTGGAGGATAAGTATTGGGCTGCAAAATGGAAGGCTGGCCATCTGAAGCAACTAGCTACATCTTGGAAGAATATGAGGTGGTCTCCTTTCTTTAAAGACAGTGTCACAAATCCATCCTGGAATAACCAATATCTATTAATTTTTCAAGGGAACAATTGCTTTATGTACTATCGAGTTGACAACTGACCCTCCAGCAGATTTTCAGAGGCTGTAAATTGCACAGAAGGCTGCTATTCTTTCTCTTGAAGAGCAGCTGGTGGATTTGAACTGTTTGCCTTTGGGTTGGCAGTGCAACTCCTTACCACTAAGCCACCAGAGGATGTATTTGTGCTGTTCAGTGGAGTACAACTCAGACAGAACCTATGAACAGATCTGAACCTTGCCCTATTCAGGACCATCCTTAGAATAACAGATAATCCAACTCCCTGAGGGTCTTCCACTCTTTTGCTGACCCTGCACCTTTCCAAACACTTTGTCTTTTTTCAAGGACAGCCTCCTCCTCAGCAGCATGCCTGACTTATGTGAGAAAAGGCTAGGAGTACTCCGGTTGCTTGTTCTCTAACACATACCTGTTCTCTTGGCAGTCCATAATAAATGTGGGTTCTAAATACTAGGCGGCCAAAGGCTTAACCCACTACTGCCTAGAAGGCTACGGTATTTATATACGGTGTCACTTAACACGCTGTAAAAAAAAAAAAAAATCCTAGTGGCCATATTTGGAGCTGCCAACAAAATTCCTGCTATATTAATTTTTACCCTTAGAAAGTGCACACGGAGGATTGCTCAGTCGGAATCCACTCCAAACAATGAGTTTAAGGGGCTGTTTTTGGTTAAGTTATACTAGGCATTGTAGCGTCCAATTTGACAAAAGTTAGTAACTGAGCCGGCAGCCCGATGTGGAGGCAAAATCGATCGACTGGCTTCGCGTGCCACCAGTCTCCAGCTAACAAGACAGAAAACAAGACATAGCCACAACAGAAAGGCACGTGACAAACGGCACTTCCACGATGCAGCCCGGGAACGAGGTGGAAGCTGGGAAGCGCACGCTCTGGCTATGAAGATGAAAGAACAAAGTTAGGAGGATGGAAGCTATGCAAGCAATGGAAAGCGCACAGCAACGACTAGCGTGCACTGGAGAAGCAATGCAGTCCTTGGCGACAGCTTCTAGTGAACAGACCGGCCAGCCTATAGGGGCCGGGCGAGTTTGCAAAAGGGGCCGTTACACCCACGTGACCAAAGGCGCTAGAAGCTTTCGGGGACCCAGGAGCGGGGGACAGTCACTCCAGACCAGACGTGGAAATGTTGAGAAATCTTGGCTATTAGCGCGAAGAGTGAACAGAGACCGGTCATGCTTGTGGCAAAGGGCCCAAGACATCACTGTGGATCAATGGAAGCTGGGACAGAACCGAACGACCCTGGCGCCCCAATTCAGTCCTCGAGGACAAACCGGAAAGTAGGCGCCCTGAAAACAAGGACAAGAGAAGCCTGGGCCGACCTAAACCCCCCATCCGAATGCCAACCACTTCTTACCGTGAACTGAGAACCCGAAGTCGCAGGGACCGACGCTGCCGCCATCTTTCAGCCTGCCCAGCAAGCCCCTGCAGTCCTCAGGCGGTCGGGGTTTTTGTGGTCTTCTTGAAGATTCAAGTCACCCACCAGGGGCGAACTCAAGTCGGGGCCTGATGGAAGGGGCGGGAAAACTGGTGCCGGGTATCAAAATCCCTGCCAAACACCCCACAGGCAAGCACACCACCAGAGCGCACGCCGAAAGGGTAACACGTCCTGACGGATGTCTTGACTAGCCAATCAAGAAAGCGGACGCTTCCAGTAGCAGGAGAGACCCGCCCCTTCCCCCGGTGACGTCACAAGGTAGCGCGTAAGGCAGACCTTCGGGCACTCGTAGCATCGCCGGCTACTAACCAAACTCCTTTAGTTTCTGCTCAGAAGCGAGCCTTGTCGAGGAAAAGATCTAGACGAGTTGTCTCCAGAGACGATTAAACAGAATGAATGAAATAGGATAAAGACGAGTGTGAAACCCATCAGTTCCTTTGGGTTAAACGTCGGAAAAATGTGTAAACTTGTCTTGGGGATGCTGTTCCAGGTGACACGCTTACCGTTTGGCGGATAAGGACTCAGGAGAAGCTTACTGATCCGATCCAATAAAAGTCAAAGGAAAGAAACAGGGAGCTTTTCGCGACCCCTTACCCAGTTAGCCTGTGGAACTCTCAGACCCGAGACATAGCTGCGAGTACGGCCTTTGGGCGGAACGGATTGAAAGCGGATTTCGCGCGCCCAGAGGTTCGGGTGGTTATTGGCTAACGACTTCCTCCCTTTGTGGGCGCTCCAGACGTAGCTCGGGTTAGGGCTTGTGAGAAGCGCTCGAGTGACGCAATAGCCACCGCAGCCAATCGGGGGCGGCGAAGAGAGGCCGAGAAGGAAGCGGATCTGTTGCCGCACAGCTAAATTGCCTCGAACTATCCGTTTCGTCTCCCTCCGCCTCTATCGGAGCCTAAGCGGAGGGCCGAGGGCTGTGTCGCCGGGTGGGCTGGGCGGAAGTGGAGGCGGAGGGAGACGACGGCGTCGAGCGCGGGGCCTGGGGCTCTCGGCGAGGCCCTGGTGGGCGCGAGCCAGAGGGAGGGGGAGGAGGAGGGGCCTGCGGCCCAGGCGGCGGCGGCGGCGGCTCAGTCCCCACCGTAGGGCTCCGCCTCGCAGCGGGCGGCGGCAGAGGAGGAGACTGAGGAGCAGGATGGCGGCCTCGGCCCTGTATGCCTGCACCAAGTGTACCCAGCGCTATCCCTTCGAGGAGCTCTCCCAGGGACAGCAGCTCTGCAAGGTCCGTGGGCGCTCGGCGGCGGGCGGGCGGGTTTACCCTCGGCTGTAGCCCTTGGGGCTTGGTGTCCGCTGCACTGTAGCTCCACTCTTTGCCGGCGCCTCGGGAATTTGTGGGTCTGTAGTCCTTGCTTCCCCAACGGAGGACCCCTTTATCTAAGGGCTGGAGCTTCAGCTGGAAAAGATCCTTAAGAGGAATACAGAATCTTGCCTTCATCCAAGCGGCCCAGGACAGGGTCGACGCCAGCAGCGTCCTGGGTCTGGAATGGGCTGAGGAGAGCAGCCACCTGTCTATGCCGCAGAGACCCTAGGGTGGAGTGGAGATGTTTTCATCTCGATTTTCTACCTGGTCCGTCCTCGCCTTCCACCAAGAGGCAAGGGACAGATTTTGCACTTTTCTTACTAGGAACCTGAAGCCCTAAAGCTGAAGGCATCTTTCTTCCGTGTCCAGAAAAGTCCAGGGAACAGAATGCTCTATGATTTGGAGCACCTTCCATGTCACAGATGCGAGAATGCTATCTCTGAGCAACGGTGCAAAAGAATAAGTAATTTCACATTTAGCTAGTCCTTGAAATCGACCCTGACAGCGCTCTCAATTTATATGTAACATACCCTCCACATCTAATAAAGACAAAGACACCTATGCCTTCCAGTAAGATTTATATTATAATTGGTCATTTAGATGAGAAATCATTCAATTGTCTTCCTTAGGAAACAGGTTTTACTGATGTTCAAGACCTCTGACTAGGTTATGTAATAATTTTCCTTCAAAAAAGTGAGACTGAGGACTTTTAAGTTAGATCCTTACTAATGTATTGTTTCGTTTCAGGAATGTCGGATTGCACATCCCATTGTAAAATGTACATACTGCAGATCAGAATTTCAACAAGAGAGGTTTGTATACTTGAACAGGCTTGATTGTTACAGACAAAGCATTGTCTCAGAGGAACACTTGGGGATCACCTGTTATTTATAATAAAAGTATTTTTTTAAAAAAGGTTTAGCTTCCTAAGTTAAAGTTATAAACCTATACAAGGTGAGAATGTTGACAAAATACAATGGGGTTTTACAATTAAATTTCAGTTTGTGAAGAAATAAACAGTAATTACCTATTGATAGAAAATATACAGTCTTGCTAGCTGATATGCAAATTTTAAAAACTACTCACTTCTTTTAAGAATGGTAAAACATTACTGTTGATGTGACTAAAGAAATGTTTACAGTGTTAGCCTACCTTCTAGGTAGGGTAGTATTGAAATCTAGCAGGGAGCACCTATGTCTTAGTTGGCAGGGAGTTGTGCTGCTGTTAACCCATTGTTGGTGCCTGTCTGGATGTTTGAATCTACCTGAGACTCTGAGGGAGAAAGATAGGCAATCTGCTGTTCAATTTACGACCTCTAAAAACCAAGTATGAGTCAGTTTTGACTCAACAATGAGTTTGATTTCTTTGCCTTTGACTGTTAACCAGCCCATACATTTTAATAGGGTGATTCTACCTTAAGAGCCCACTCCAGGAATTAGCTAAAAAGACGGCAATTCCACAAGTAGGCATGGACTTGATGGTAGTAGAAATAGTCTAGTGGAAATTTTAGGTAGATACTGATAAAGTTATGCTATGTAAAGACTTTGGAAGTGTAAAAGTTTTTGCTTTGTTTCTTTTATAAGAAATGCACATGAAAACATAAAAATAGTTGGAAGAGAAATAAATTTGGCTTAACAGCAAAACTTGTTAGAGACATTGCTACCAGAACTCCCTAGGGAAATAAAGTTTGGTTATACAACCCTAAAAAGATTCTTTATAGCTTAAAAAAAAATCCCTTAGTCCCTATTAGAGTAATTTTAAGTACTAATTCTTCCATTTGCTTTAGCTCAGCATTGTGATAAATTAGAAAACTACATAAACTTGATCATTTTTGTAAATTTTCCTTTTCAGCAAAACTAACACAATTTGTAAGAAGTGTGCTCAAAATGTGAAGCAGTTTGGCACAGTAAGTATGTATTCTATTTTACTTTAGTCATTATTGTTTTCCACAAAGATAGACTAGAAATGTTGCTATGTTTTTAAATATTTCAACTTGCCCACATATTTAATGAAATTTTCTATAAAAATCCTCATGAGGATCTTTCAGAATTTGGAAACAGTCAAATTATGCATTTGTTTTACATTTAATGAATTTTAGAAAGTTTATCAAGTTATTCTCCCCAATAATCAAAGGTAGAAAACTAGTAGTAGAGAACTTGAATGAAGTTTGAAATACACTTTCACTACTTTTTAAGAACTTTTAGATGGAATAATTCGTGTTTGTTCATAAAAGTAATGTCTGTCCTAGTACAGTTTCTCTTTTGTGCCTCTTTTGTAATGTATACATTACAAGCATTCGTCAAGAGTTTTCTGGCTTTTAGGCTCTATAAAATCTGAATTTTCTTTGGGATTTCAAAGAGAATCAAGCCGTATGTTAGTTAACATTGAATATATATTGTCCATTACCGTATAGTATTTGACTTTATTGAATAACTAGAAATATGTCAAATGCTTTTAAATATTGACTGTAGCGTGGTTGACACAAAAACATTTTTAAACTTACTAATTAATTAATCTCAGCAATATAACTAATTCTAGGCATATTTTATGAAATGTTTCTAGAATTTTTCTAAATCTCAAAGAAAACTTATGTTTTTCAGCCAAAACCTTGTCAATACTGTAACATAATTGCAGCATTTATTGGCACCAAATGTCAGCGTTGCACAAATTCAGAGAAAAAATATGGACCACCTCAGACTTGTGAACAATGCAAACAACAGTGTGCTTTTGATCGGAAGGAAGAGGGCAGAAGAAAGGTAATGTACTTAAGTGATGATATCATCTGAAAATGAAATAAAATACCAAACAAGTATTATTATAATTAAAAGACTGCTAAGGCATATTCTGTCTTTTGGGTCATTAAAACCAGGGAGTGGATTAAAGTGCAGACATGCACTCCTCTTAAGAATTTGCATCATATATAGATTCATTTTGGTCAGTTGGAATTAACTGTGATTTAAGTCTTTACATTTTGTTTGTTTTTATTTGGCTAAGAAGAATTCCTAGCTGCTATTAGATAAATCCTTTTTTTAATTTTATTTTATTTTATGTGTGTACCGTCAAATTGGATCTGACTGGTACAGGAGGCAGTTGTTCCTCCTTCTTCAGCAGAGCATCTGGTGGATTTGAACCGCACATCTCTGGGATTGCAGTGCAGTTTCCTGCCACTAGGCCACCAGAGCTCGCCTAGATAAATCCTTTTTGTTACTTACCCTTTTCTTGATCGCTTGAAGTTGCTGGTGTGAAAAACTTTTGATGACACATTAATACTTGTAATTTAAAGGACCTAGGTCTCATTTTGAAACCATTGTTTGCTTTCTTTACCTACAGAGACTTAAGAGGTGTGTATATACATGTGGCCTGCCTCTACTGGTCAGCAGTCACAAAGCCTGGTGTTTCTCAGTTTCAGTTGATTTGGAGGATAACTGTCTGAGGGACTCTGCCAGGATATCCCAAAACAGTGTATGCATTCTACCTAGTTGTAGGACACGTTGCTGAAGCATTTCTTGTGAATAAACAGAAAACACATCTAAGTCTTAACTTTGGAAAGAAGCATCTTTTCTACCTTCCGAGATATATGAATATATGTATGTGTATATATGTCATACAGGCTTTCCTTTTTCTATGGAGTTGTAAATATTAGGAGTGTTTTATCTAAAATTATGAAACTACACAGTATTTTAGAATTAACTTC